AGGAGGGAGGGACACCGAAACAGACCAATGCACACGTCCGCCACTGACATCGATCTGGAGCCATGACTTCCAAGGTCTCCAACCAGCAAGTATCTGCATCTCTCGGACCCCAACCAGGCAGTCGACAACAACCGGCAGAGGCCAACTGTTTCGTCAGCTTTTTCATGCGGCTTATCCAAGTTGAAGGCTGTCCACCAGACCGTCTCTTCCAACCCTGTCCAGCAACCGCAAACAATGTACGACTCGGGGAATGCTGGACAGACACGCGCGATACGTGTCCAAGCAACCGCACTTGATGCAGTGAGACGAGCTCCTCGAGCAAGCGGCTTCCTCGTCCCAAGACATGCCGTCTAACTTGCACGTTGTTTACGTAGCGCCACCATCACACACGGACAATAGATCGCAGATAGCGGTGCTCGAAGACGGATAGTCTGCGCAAGTCTACGGTACGAATGGACCAAGTCTCACGTACGCACAACAGTGCAGCACGAACAGTTGCACAAAAGACCCACCCTTTGATGGAGAGACGAATGTCGTGGCGACGCCACAAGTGCCTCAGCCTAGAAAAACCGCGGCGTGCTCTCGAGATCCGCATCGAAATCTCGTCTCTAACAGCGCCGCCAACAGTGATGCAACTTCCCAAGTAGACAAAGCTCTCCACAATCTCCAGTCTTTCATCACCAAGAGTGAGTGCAGGCACAGTCACCTGCCAGTCTTGATAGAGAGCTTTGTATTTGGATGGCGAAAAGTACATGTCACACTTTGATGCTTCAATCGCCAAGCGGTTCCTTGCAAGTTGGACGGCCTGTGGATCGTTACCTAGCTAGGCGATATCATCAGCATAATCCAAATCAACAAGTCGACTACCTGGGAGGAGCTCAACGCCAGCGTTCAACGAATCGCCCAGAGCGTCCTTTAGGACATGCTCAACGGCAAAGTTAACTAGGAACGGAGAAATACGGCATCTTTGTCGAACTCCATTGGAGACGACAAAGTAAGACGAAAGCTTGGGACAAGCTGTAACTGTTCTAGGTCAGACCATAGAGAGCGCGCAGTATGGAGAGGAACTTCTCTGGGACACCAGTCCTCAGTAGGCAGTGCCGCAGTACTGTCCGATGAACAGAATCGAAGGCTGCACTGATATCCAAGAACACAGCAACCGTTGGCCTCTGATACATATGGCGGATCTCGAGGATCTGGCGGAATGTGAAGATTTGATCAATGCAGCTGCGACCAGGGTGAAAGCTCGCTTGTTCTTCAAGCTGCAACGATTCTCGCGTTGGGGATAAACTGGCCATCAGGGCCAGGGGCTTTATAACACTTTATGTGGCGGGAGCTCCTGCTCGATTTCTAAGTAAGAGGAGGATCTGTGGGGCAGACCACTCGGCCCAAGTGCGAGCGCCAAAGGTAATACATGGAGCTTGGGGTCAACAAAACTGCGAGCCAAAATGTTCAGCCCATCGCTCCAACCTTCGTTGGTGATTAAATTGTTATCCTCTTCGCATATTGCTTCACTTACACCAGATCGAACACCAGAATGAGATGGAAAAATTTTCTGGTATTACCAGAGAGACTAGCAAGCTCCATCTCCCTAGCAAGTTCACACAACCAAGCTTCGCAGTCCATTTGCAGACTCCTGCGCAACTCTCGATTCAGGGATTGGCGTTCTTCACCGTGTCTAAAATCCGACGGGATCAAGCGGCGTTTGTCCATCAGCGACAAGGAGACGGGCGACTCCAAAAATGTCGATACTGGCGAAAACTAACTGCGAATCGAGATCACCGTCACTAGTTGAGCCAAGCAAGATTGACAGTGAGGCTTGGTACCTGGCTAAAATCCCAGGGTTTTGTTAATTTGCGAAGTCCGGTCGGTAGTGAGCGCGTTTAGGTGATGCTCCGAAACGTCTGCAAATCTAAGCACGAACCAACGCGTGATCGGAGTTTACATGAGTTGACCAGTACGATCGGCAATCCGTTAGGCCTCCGCGTCATCTGTAGCTGATTGCTAGGTGGTCAAGATGGAAGCATTCTTGTGTTTGTGAGGGCGGGCGCCAGGTAGCAGCGTGTCTTTTCGAATGTCGAAAACTAGTGCTCGAAAGAAACAAGCGATGATCAGAACAAAGAGCAAGCAATCTGTCTCCATTGTCTGATCGACTGCCACCGAGGCCAAAACTACCCCCAAGGTGGTGCTCTCTGGGTGAAAGGTGGCCCACCCATGCGTTAAAGTCCTCGGCAAGAATGACTATATCAGTCCTTTTGGTGGAATGTAGAAGTTCATGTAGCTACTGGTAAAAGGTATCCTTGACTGCATCCGGGCTGAAGGGGCGTAGGCGGAGACGACAAGGAAGGCAAGCTTAACGTCTCGACGCCAGCTTACATTCATTATACACATCAGCTAGAGGTGGGAAAACACCTCTGCTATTGTGCCGCAGCCAGCTTACATTACATGAACCTTGTAGTCCGACTGCACATAGCCGACTGTTGACTGGGATGCAGTCAAGCAGAGTTGATTCAGCCCTGGCACTCAGTGCAATCTCAACATCCGCTTGACAAGAGGCGGAAGATTTAGGGTCTCCGGAAAGCCGCAAGTGGCATTTAGCGTCAAGGTTTACCAGAGAGGCTATTCTGATAGTGGCGCTAGAATCTTGTAATCTGGTCTCTGAAAGCAACAGATGGCTATCGAGAGCGTTTCAAGCGTACGGGCCAGACATGCTTGTCGTCCGATCTGCATCAAAGTTCGAACATTAAACGCTGTGAGGATGAATGGAGAACCAGATCAAAGAACAGCTGGAGCTTCGGTGGAGTGTGAGACGGTTGAGATCGCAGAACATTGAAAACCGGGAGTTGGGCTGTTACTTCCATCAGCTGCGAGACGTGGGTCGTTTGTGACGGGGACCGAAGAAGACACAAGAGTACAAATAGGTGAAGGACGGGAGGTGGGGTGATCTGTGAGTAGATGTTGTGCAGTTGAGTTAGCACAGAAGATAGGCATAGCAGTAGCAGTAGTAAGCGGTGTGGTCCATGATTCGTCAGTGAGCGTGATACTACCCAGTTGTCCAGGCCGAAGTAGAGGGTTGTCGTAGGGAGCCCTACCTCGAGCCTTTGATCAAAGACCTAACCTACAAGGCAGCACGGCGATGTGAGGGCATTGCAATCCGTTGGGAGCCGGTGACCAAAAAGATGGTTCATGCGTCTTTCGGTCCGTGAAGGACCAGTGGCCCAACGCATCCTTGAAGTACCATGACTCTCAGGAAGGGGCAAGGGACAGTGACTATTTAGTGGCAAGCCACATCTGCCACGTCGTAGTGTTGTTAAATAGACATTTGTGACTTTTTGTGTGGAGAACGCTTGCCAGGCGAAAACCCACCACGTCCTGGAACACTGCCGCCGAACCATTTGTTGTAACGAGAGAAACCCGAACCATCCAGCTGGCACCAGGAGGGGTTTGTTTGGCAAGCCAGCTCAGTATTGTTATTCTGAATCATATTCCGTGACAATTGTACGGATTAATTTTTCTATATATAGTGTGTTCCTTGCTTGATATCCCCGGCGTGGCTGTGCAAGATACGAATGTTGATAGTATGCCTAACTGCTGATAAACCGCCACCTCGAGTATAGTGGCTCCAGGAGAAAGTTGGTCTTTGCTATGTGAGACGTGATGTACGATCCAAGTGACCATGTGGTCCCAGTGTGTCGCGAGGTACGTACAGCCACCGCCTTGTGCACGCCTAGTACGTACGATTCCCAAATTCGATGGTGAGGAATGTAGCCGCCTTGAAGGAGTGTGGGCCAGCTCCGCTGCTGAAACGTGGTTCCCATCAACATGCCTCCCGGTATTATCCCTTCGGGTTTACAATGGATATGCGGTGTATGCGGATGGTGTGACGCAAACCACCCATGGCCCTCCTGCAGGCACAGGCATCCTGTGGCTATCCAACAGAGGCCGCAGTGACAGGCAAATCCGGATTCGTATGCCGCCAACCATGTTACGAACCGGCGAGCACTGCTAACAGCAAGTGGGAGTTAGAAGGTCTACAGCAAATTAAGTAAGAACAGCCTGGCTTGAGACGAGCGGTAGCAAACCATTGAGCGCGGAAGGCTGACCTCCTACGGTTCGAGAAAATGTATCACGTTCGCGCTCTACGCAATCGATCTGTGGGCTTATAACCCATGAACCTGTTGTCACCCATGGTTAGGTTTTAAGGGGAGAGGACCGGTGCCCTCATTCATGGCTCAGTGGCATAAGTCGCTGGTTCGCAAGAGAAAGGTCATCGGTTGAACTCGCGAGGATTGCGCAACAGACGAATCCCAACGGGAGGAAACGGCCGTCTAGCGCTTTCCTGGATGTGTGGCAATCGACTGTCTGGCTGAGCCCAGCTGCGGCTAATCTTCTTAAAGACACAATAAATCTCCGTACTTCTCACGAATAACCTCAAACGTCCTAGGAGAGTTAGGAGAGTGGGTTAGTCTGACTCCCAACCACTGACTTGTCTGGTATGAGTGACGCTGACGGAAGTTAGAAGGTGCCAACCGATGCAGCGTAATGGGCCAGGAAGATACACAAGCCATCACATCAGGTTGAGGACCAGGATCGTCGTGATGGCGAAACCGAAACCAAGTATGAAAAAGGAAGAGCCCCAAAACATTTTAAAGAAAAGTAAAACGAGCTCAAGCGTAGAAAACAACGAGCGCGAATCCAACGGTCAAGCATATTGTTCTAATGTTCTTTGCTGCATTCAAATTTCAGAGAATAACCTCAACCAGCATAGGGTGCTTAGTGAGATGGGTCAGACAGAACCGATAGTGTGGATCCATGTAACATATACAAACTCATAAAGTATCAATGAAATATTAAAACAATAGCTAATGTAGTAGGAGTGTGAGATGTAAAAGGGCTAATGTGGGTGCATAGATTCAAGCATGATGTAGGAACATGAGTACACAGTACTTCCCAAAGAGTGAAAAAAGTAAACTGAATGGTTATCACCGGAAGGAACATACTCTTCACGATCTGCAACTCTTCGTGCAATTTCGTCCGACGATCTGCAATGGTGATAGAAACAAATAAAAGTGACACGGTCGTGCAATACACATGCACACACACACACACACATACAATTGAGGGCACATTTCAAAATGCGCACGGTGCACGTTGCATTGCATACGAAAGACTTCGGAGGAACGATGCACTAGTGCTCAGTACGTCACGGGGAGACGATCCCGGCCGTGAGTAGAAGGCCGAACGATTCAGTCACCAATCCGAGTTACGACAGCCGGTAGGCCCAATTGTAGGACACGGATTATCAAGTCGGATCACGGGCCTAACTTGAATGAAATCTGATCCAGATGGCGATCAAGACACCATCTGTCTGGTAGAACCAAAAAGATGCACACAAAAGATGTCGCTTGCGAGACGAAAAGCATTATCACTGAAACATAGCAAGAAAATACGACGGTCGTCGGATATGATTAATTCAGTTTAAGTGCTGAAATTGCTTTGATGGAGGCGACAATAGCATCGCTTGCACCTTATCCATATCCTAAAGTAAGGAATCCAGACGGCCGTTCCCACGGTATCATAATACCGAAAACCTTGGGAACTTCGAACCGATTCCCCGTCGCGAATGATCGAATCATGACCGGTTTCGACGTGCCTATGATTTTGTACAAAGTATCGACTGATGCAACCTCGCAGCACCTAAACCCAATTAGCCGAAAGAAATCGCACCGCTCTAAAAGCTGACCCACTTGTGCAAGAGTTGCTGCCCGAGGCATCCAATAGCTTCAGCTGCCACAACCACGTGTCAAGACTCAAGTGCAAACTGCACAGAAGTCGTCAATGCCACCAACCACCGCGAACACCACATCCCGAAAGACCAGGCAGAGCTACAGTGCCTTAATACACATAAGCCCCAAAGATTTTAGTTCAAAAGAAATTCCTTAAGGGATAAACAGTGCGACGATCTGCACCGGTGGAAATTCATTTGTGATCGGATCGGACCAGGCCCACTAATACAGTGCACGTGACTAGGCATCAAAACTGTATACCACGGTGAGTCCCAATTTTTATGGGAAACAGTGGAATGCCGAGATGTATTTGTCGGTATAAACATCTTCACAGTAATGGCGATGGGATAACCAGCTTCAATGATATTCTATGGAGCGAATGTAAACAGGACGACAGCAATTCAAACGATCATGAGGCGGGCAATAGCAGAATCACCATGTTCGTTAATGGCGTGCTGTAGCAACCAGCATCTAGCGATGAGGAAGCTCACACTTATGAGATAGGAAGAATAGTGGTAAATCCATGAAACTCTCGGCTAGTGACGTCATACTTCGGTCGATTTCAGAGGTAACCATGTCGCTTAACTAAAAACGCAGGAGCCGAGGATACTATAACTTTCAGATCAATCTCAACAGACGACAATGAACTTAATGCGTATCTGGCATGAACTAGGCAACCCATAACTTCGGAACTGCGAATGGAAACAGCAATCAGAGAACCGCAGACACCCGACGTCATAGAGGAAACAACAACATCGGAGACTCGATGTAACAACAATATCGTATCGAAACATAGGTGCAAAGACCAGTAATCATTGAGAATGCGAGCATTAAACTGCATACAACATGAGCACACGGAAGCAAAGACGGACCGCATTAATACCCAGATAAAGTCTCATGGCATTCACAAACAAAACACACATCAGTCGACAAAACTACCACCCCAACCCGCAGCACAAACTTCTTGCGAAGCGTTACGGACGTACAGAAAACGATCATGTATTTACAAGAATACTCAATGCTTAGTTAATAAATTACGAACTGTGAGAATAAAATCCTTCTCGGCATCCAATGTTTCTGGACTAAGATTTTTGGGGCGAGGTGGTAAAGACACCGCACACGGTTTCTCTTGTTTTTTATGGGCACAAAACTAAGGAAACGTGTGTATTGGCCAACGCACATAGACTTGCGGAATGCTTTCCTCTCAAGCAATTTGTCAGCTCGCCGCCGCAGTAACACATTTAAAAATGAAATTTCACCGTCGTTCTCTGTTTCATAAGTGAATTTTCATGATGGATGCACACGCTTGAACTCGTCAAGTAGGTGGAGGTGATCAATCTGTGGGTCGCATACGATGAACGTGTCGTACATGTATCGTCGATAGAAATCAAGAGACGCGATAAGGTACCGAATAGGACCGCACTCAGTTTTTGCGAGGAAAATATCGGCAAGAAGTGGCCCGAAAGGGGACCTCATTGCAATGCCGTCTATTTGTCGGTAGTATATTCCATCCAATTGTTTGTTAAAGGTGCAACGCAGAAGTAATTCCTTTACTCGTTGAACTGGATTACCGATGTCAATATTGTTTTTGGTTAAGCATTCGCAAATGAACTTAACGGTCTCTGTCAAGTGAATATTCGTCAAGAGTGCTTCTACGCCGAAAGCGAGCATCACATTCAGGTCTTCTACTTGTTTAACAAAATCAAAGTGTGGACCGATATTTCTCTACGTAGTGGTTCGAGTAAGTCAACAAGTCACTTGGCAACTACGTGTACAGCAAAGCCGGACATGTCGGTGATCGGACGCATTGGTACGTTAGGCTTGTGCATTTTTGGTAGCCAGTAGAGGCAGGGTGGGTGTGAGACACATGGAGTTAGACGCTCGAACAAGCAGCCTTCAATATAGTTGTCGCGCTTGAGTTCTTTCAACAAGTTGGTGAGTTTAGTTGCATAATTTGCGGTGCTATCCTTTTGTATCGGGTCAAGCATGAATCTCTTCGTATCCTGCGAAATGGCAAGCATCTTCAACATATAGTCTGATTTGTTCATCAATACCCAACCCGATTCTTTATCTGGTCGGGAGAACAAAAGTTCGGGATTAAATGTCAGTTCTTTTACGGCTTTTCGGTGCTCATTAGTGATCAGTTTGGAGAGTTGCAGCTTGTGATTCGAGTACTGATGAGAAAGGTGCACCAGAGTGCTCTTGAAAGAAGCGTTCGCGAGGGAAGAAGCAGGTGTCAAATCACTTAGTTGTTGCATTAAACTTCCGAATTGCGTTTGTACATGAATCTGTCCACTGTTAGGCCACGACAAACAGAATTTCGGTCCCAGTGCGAGAGCTTCCAGTTGATACTTGTTCAACTGTACGTTAGCAAGGTTGTGAACGTACCGTTCTGGATGTTGTGGAAATTTCGGTTCAGGTACTTTTGGTTCTAGGCTCTTCAGCAGCATTGTGTACTTCCTCTCCACAGCATTGTTACACACATGGTGTTTCAAAAGAGGAGCGTTCATCTGTATTGAGTTCATTCAAAGACCGTTGATAATGCGTACGAAGTCGTTCTAACTCGGAAACTCGTGAATGAATGGCTTCCAGAATGTTGAACGCGTGCCGTTTCAGGGATTTTGACGTCGGACAAACATGACAGTGTCTAAGTGACTTCCAATACTTTTAGGATACTGATTGCGTTCTATGCACTCCTTTATGAACCGAATCTGTCTTCGCATTTGCAAGCTTAGCGCTAAACTGCAACAATTTGTTAAGGTTAGAGAACGCCGTAGGTTGGTTGCGTTTCTTTAATTCGTGTATTATACCCATACAACATTACAAGAAGAGGAGTTGCGGCGAAGAGATCTCTTTTTGATAATTCACCTCATGAATTTACAATTATAAGAAAACTTGATACAACACGAGAAGCTATCTAAAGTTGCAGTAGTGAATGGTTAGGTCACAGTTCAACGGAAGATCAACGAGGCAATCGATGGAGCAATTAATGCAATCAGCTGGTGAACATCACGCGCTTTCACACCCCAAACACTAAAAGGCAAACATAATAAGACAGAAATGGTTGGTTTGACGTCAAAGCTCACAGTTAGTCCTAAACATGGGGAGGTAAGGACGGCGTCAATCGTTCCGGTCAAGGCAGCATGAGCGCTTGTACAAGCGTCCTCTGCTTGCATAACTCCGGTTGCAGCAGCGTAATAGCCATTGATTCCGAGGTAGCCAACAGGCACTTCTTGGATTGCGTTTAGATACGGCGTAGAGAACTTAAAAAACGTCATCTGTCCGAACATAATGCCCCGTACTAATCAGGTGTTCAAGGACGGAGCTATGTGCATTCTTAACTGCACCGTGCCGTAAAGAGGCGGGACAGTGTTCCGCTATCCTCTTAGACAGACGCCTGGTAGTGTGTCCGAGGTACCTGGCACCACAGGTGCAGGTGAACTGATATACAACAAAAGATTCGGAACGAGCAGGGAGCCTGTCTTTGAGGTTTCTAGTGATAAACGGAACAGCCTCGACAAGGAGGTGGAGTCTTGCAGCCGGATATGTTTGGTTCACAGCAACGGACAATCTTTTGTTCAGTAACACGTATGCGATATCTCCTTTGAAGGGAACCGAAATGAAGACGTCCTTTTTCTTTACCGTTGGTATTTCTTTAGGTTGATCAGAAACAGCAGAATGTTTGTGGATAAATGTCCTGGGATAACCGTTGTTTTGTAGCCTTGTGAGAATAAAATTCTGCTCGGCATTCAACGTTTCTGGATCACAGATTTTTGTGGCGCGATAGTAAAGACACTGCACAAGGTTGCTCTTGTATGTCATGGGCACAAAACTAAGGAAGTGCGTGTACTGTCGGTATTGCTTTCCATCGAAAAAACAAGCAAATCCTGTTCGATGGAATATACTACCGACAAATAGACGGCATTGCAATGAGGTCCCCTTTCGGGCCACTTCTTGCCGATATTTTCCTCGCAAAAATTGAGTGCGGTCCTATTCGGAACCTTATCGCGTCTCTTGATTTCTATCGACGATACATGTACGACACGTTCATCGTATGTGACCCACAGATTGATCACCTCCACCTACTTGACGAGTTCAAGCGTGTGCATCCATCGTGAAAATTCACTTGTGAAACAGAGAACGACGGTGAAATTTCGTTTTTAAATGTGTTACTGCGGCGGCGAGCTGACAAATTGCTTGAGAGGAAAGCATTCCGCAAGTCTATGTGCGTTGGCCAGTACACAAGACAAAAAACAAGAGAAACCGTGTGCGGTGTCTTTACTATCGCGCCTCAAAAATCTAGAAACATTGGATGCCGAGAAGAATTTTATTCTCACAACGCTACAAAACAACGGTTATCCAAAAACTACGAACTGTAACTCCACTAGAAATAAAATTGTTGGCCCCATTCCTATGATAGAGACATGGCTATGCTCCGACATAACTGATAACGAAGTCGCGCTAGAAAGCCCATCCGTTTTTCGGTACGACTAACTCAGTAACTGGAATGAGGTGGTTCTGTACTTGTGAGACAGGAAAGGCTACTGCCATTAGGAACAGTTATGAAGAACTTCCCTGGAAAATGAGTGACTGATTGTGACGATTTTAGATAAGGATGGAAGACAGAGGACGCCACAATTCCAACCGTAGGTGAGAATTAGAACGCACTGATATTTCTGAGCAATTTGCAGAAGCTAACGAAAGCTAACGGACCCTTGTTCGGTTCACCCTATAAATGTCTTAGCAAATGGTGAGTGACATGACCGCACGGCTGTTCTCTTCAAGTTAAGCAAGTTACCGAAGCAGACTATGACGATGATAATACTTTCACGGTAATGAGTTGCAGAATGTACAAGCGATTCGGAACGCCTTGACGATTGAAACATCTAATTACGATATGTGCTTCACGCCTCGGAGGCTAAAGCGCGGCGTCATGGTTGGTACCCATCTGTTCTCGCGCTCATCCATGAGGTACACCACCACATTATGGCGGGGGTAAGCGCTTCAGCTGGTAGTCAAAAGGAAACGTCCAGGATGCCTCTCTTGCGCTACAGGACCCGATTTAAAACTCCGCGAGAAAACAGTGATCTTGTGTGGAAGTGAGTCCGGGCCAATTCGACCCGGGTCTGACCTTCGAGAGTAGGTGTGGATAATATGCCTATCAACAACAACCGTGGTTCTATAAAAGGGTTTTATCTATTTGCAATTTGGGCTTCAAAAAAATCGACTAAATGACACCCAGCAGTGAGAATGAAAAGAATGCGGGCAAATAAAACGAGTAAATGCACGCATAACACAAATGGCCCAGTCACTATTGTTCAAATGTGCTTGTTCGGTGGCGGCCATCTTGATGCTGGTCATCCCTATGGCTCGGTACCAAGAGAGCTTTAAGATGTGATTGCATGGGAATGCTTAACACACGCGATTTCCCACGTTTAAGTCGTTCAGCGTGGAGATAATATACTCTGGGGGTTTGTCCCTGTTTGCGTCCGTTAGTTAAACTAGAAAGATTCCGCGGAAGCGAATTTAATCGTCCCCAGATTGACCTAGTGCTCCTACCGTAATCGTGTGCACACAAGTAGGGCTACCGCTCATCACAGAAAAGATGATGAGAAATCCCTTCGCTTTCTATTGGAGACAAATGATCCAAATATTGAGAAAGAAAATTCGCAAGTAACATTCTCCACTGAATTTAATCTCTCTCAGTATGTCCGAAGCTAAAGGTAACGAGAAAATTTTCACATAAAGCAAGCAAGAACGCTATTACAGTGGCTAATGGATGGTGACACCATCTTCATTGACGTGTTATCACTGCAAGCCTGCGGTTACCCGCTTTGCATATTGCCAATAGACGGGACATAGGCAGCGCAAGTGATACAAACCAGACGTTGGAGTAATAGTCCAATTGATGGCTGATCAGGGAACATGTGTAGAGATACAGGAAAGGTCGACAGATACGTAGTTTGGGGAAAAATACACAGTGCGAATATATTACCAAAATAAGTGAACAGTCGAGGCATCCGGTAGATGGTCTAGTGTAGAAATAGTGCGAAAATAGAGCCAACTCAGTGTATGCCATCTTTTAGACGTGGATTCCGGAATCCATAAAGGCGTCATAAGTCACATCAGATAAAAAAGAAAATCTCCGAAACGTACGCCCACGCAATCGATCCTTCACTCTGTTAACAAGCGACGTTAATCTATCGGATTACTCTTCAAGAATAGTCCGATTGCTTTACCGTTAATAGTTGCGGCTAAGGATGATGTGGGTCAACGAAGCAGCCAGACGATATGCACCATATAGTTAAGTCAAAAATATGCAACTGAGCCAAACCGCTGCACAAATAATCTCATCACTGGCTTGCAGTTGCTCTCCGAGCTGAGCAATTGTGCCGCAGACGTTTCGTCACTAGTCGAGGTGACATCCTCAGTGCTTCACCGCTTAGCGTACAACCTCGTCAAATCCGGGAAATAAAACGAACAAATGCACGCATAATACAAATTTCTCACTATTGATTAGCCGTGCTTGTCCGGTGGCAGCTATCTTGATTCTGCCACTCAACGAACTTGTACGCTAAGCAGTGAGGTACTGACGATGTCACCTCGACAGGTGACGAAACGTCTGCAGTCCAATTGTTCAGATCGGAGAACAAATAAAAGCCAGACCAGTCAACCCGAGCTACAAGTACTCCGAGAAATGAGAAATACAGATTCCGGGGAAAAGCTGCGAGTGACTGTAAGGAAGAAGCTGAAGCCAACTCACCATTCGATTGTTGCAACTCCTGCCTCAGACGGTCGCAATCGGCTGTCAAAAAGTAGTAGACAAGAAGACTTAAAGAAGCAGGTACGAGTGTAAGATCTTCACAGTATAAATAAGGGCAAGAAGCGACATAAGGATGACACAAGAAGTAGGGAAACGGTGACGCAAATCCCAACGAATCTGAGGTAACACCACAAAAAAGCGTCACGAATGTAAACAGTGAAGAACAGGCTCAGTAGGAGCGAGAGAAGGATTTTATTTTTAAAAACGCCCCTCGGATGTCACACTAAAATGGCCGACGAAAAGTTGACCGACAACCCTTGCACACAAAAGCCAGGATGACAAAAAATGCCAGACTAATAAACGGATTCTGTAAAAAATACTGAACGGATTAGAATGTGTGCGTGCAACAGTATCAGGCCGTGAAGATTTGAGCGAGCTAGGAAATATTCATAAAATGAAACTGTCAATTTAGCTTACTCTTAGATATCCGGACTGGTGCTGGGCTTTAATGTTTTTGGATACCAAAACTATTTAAATGCACAGATTATCAAGTCGCTGCGGCTAGCACGCAGAGACATACTTCCATTATAAATTATGAATCGTCAAACGATGGTGGCGGTTATCGTCGGCATGCTATGCAGATGGCCAATTTTCCTCGGTAATCGGTCAATGACTGGCAGAGAAATCAGAGTATCATGCATGGTCTGCCGGATCCCCAGGACAGCCAGGTATAGAAATTGCAAATACACTAAGAAAAATCTGACCGAAAAGACGGATGTATCTTCCTCCGACATTGCTGTGATTCATCTCGCTTGCGTATGTTTCCCTCACCGTCATCATCAACATCAATACACGTTAGCTGAGGGTGAGAAACATACCTCAGCTAATGTGCCGCAATACAAAAGGATAATAAACTAAAAAATAATACCACAAAAATTCAAAAAGCAAATAATATGGTGTTAATTATCGTATTATTCATGTGCTAGGAGATCGTAATTGGAGGGCGAAGCTAAAAAGAGGGGAATGGACAAAGAAACTCACAACGACATTGGGGCCGGCTCCTAGGCATATCAGCTACTGCATCCAACCAAATGTGTTCATCGTCCTTCGCAATTACTACTACGTCGCTTACTTCTGCTGCTACTTTCCCTCCTACTTGTGTTTCTCCATCACACGCCAACTTTTCTCATGGTGAGAATGTACAACCTCTTGAGTCTACTTCCAATGCCCGTTTCGTTAAGATCCAAATCATCCGGCCATCATCTATCCTTCGACCCCGTACTTCATTCCACCTGAAAGCGTTCAATGTTCGGACTTTCCTACAGATTGGACAACAAGCTGGCCTGGCGCGCACTCTAGAGTCCCTCGCCATCGATGTTTGTTGTTTTTCGGAGACATGATTGAAGGATCCCAGCACGGTGGTTAAGTTGTCGTCCCCAGCTGCTCTTGAAACCACATATTACCTACGTCTGTCTAGTGACATGGAGGCAGCAGCAGTCGGCTTAGCTGGTGTCGGTATCGCAATGAGTGATAGCGGAGGCTGCATTACTCGACTGGTTTATAATCGCCAGCCGCCTGTGTGCAGTTCGGCTTCAAGGCTCATGTAGAATCAACAGACATCGTGAAGAGAGGCGCAATTTGTTTTCGTTTCCACTTACGCTCCAACGGACTGCATCTGTGCATCGGTTAAGGTTGACTTTTATTGTGGTTTCCACAGCCTTTTGAACAAGGCCGAACAGTCAAATGTCATCGTCCTTGCCGGAGATCTCAATGCACGAGTAGGTCGCCTGCTTCCGTGCGAACGTCATCGTGGTGGCAGTCACGTGCTTGATGAGAGATGTTCTGACAACGGTGATAGACTTCTTACGTTATGCGAAGATCACCGTCTGTTTCTCTTAGGCACGAACTTTAGTCATTCCAGAAGACGTGCAGCCACCTTGCGTCCTCCTTCACCAACGTAAGCATGATCACAAATAGATCACATTGTAATCAGCTTTAGATGGCGAGGCAGCGTCCGGGGTTGTAGATCAATTTGGTCTACGTACCTCGACTAAGATCATGCTTTGGTCTGCATGCGCTTCGGCGGCTCCTCAAAACGAAAGCTCTATACGCTCGACACCAACAGGTTAGCTGACCTCTCTACTCGATCAACTTATTCAGCTTCCTTATCGCATGCATTCATTAGTGCCCCACCTCGAGACATCGAAAATCATTGGAGTTTCCTGCGTGAAGCGATGCTAACTTCCAGTCATTCAACCAGAGGAATCACAAGCGCCGTCTGAGGGGCTGGATTTCCGCATACTCATTGGAAGTGTTTGATAGTCGTAGAGCTATCAAGGCTGATTCAAATAGCAGTTCATTGCGTCCCATTCTCAGCCAACAACGTAAGCAAAGCCTGCGGGCGGATTGCGAAACTTGGTGGACTCATAGCGCCTCAGTGATGGAAACGGTAGCCCATTCTGGAAACTTTCGCAAGCCCTTCCAGGTCATTCGGGCCACTGATCACAAAAGACCTGGTGTCAGTGAGGTCATTTCCGAGGCTGACGGAACGACGATAAGCAACTTACACAGGCGCATGGACCGCTGGGCCGGAAACTTCAGCACTCAATTCAGCAGGCCTCCTCCATCAGCGAGCCTAATGAGCATACCTACTTGCGCACCTTGAAACGTCTTATTGGAACCACCCACTGAGGTCTGCCTTGAGCTCCGACACTTGAAGCGATTCAAGTCTGATGGCACAGACGGACTTCATCCAGAGCTGTTCAAGTACGGGACGAAGCAATTGTCGATCAACTAACAGCTCTGTTTTTTAAGATCTGGTGTGAAGAAACAGTTCCATCCGTTTGGGACGAGTCAATTATCGTCCAGATCTTCAAGAAAGGTGCCCGTACCCTATGCGCTAACCACCGAGGAATCAGTCTAATGTCCGTTGCCTCTAAGCTGTTAACATCCATTCTACTCCGCAGACTAACCCCGATTCGAGAATTGCGCTTCCGTGAAGAACAGGCTGGTCGACGGTGGATAGACCTTTGCCCTTACGAAATGCTAAGTCCTGGCCCTGAAATGGCATCCGTCTGCCCCAGTACTTACTCTCCAAGGTACGCAGCGTGAACAGGTGGACAAATCTGTTTACCAGGGAAGCTGTCTCTATGCTGATGGTAGCATTAGAAAAGAGATTTCCCTCCGAATTGCCAAAGCCCGTTCGGCATTCACCAACTCGAGGCATCTGTGGAGACGCCGTGATGTTTCACTATTGGTAAAGGGCAGGGTCTACAAAGCGTGTGTTCGCGCGGTGCTGCTGTATAGGAGTGAGTCCTGGCCGATTCGTGTGAATGACTTGCGTCGGATTTCGGCCTTTGACAATGGATGTCTGCGGAGAATAACTCGAGTGTGGTGAATGAACCACGTGCGCAACGATGATGTTAAACGTCGCGTTGTGGGTACTACGGGACTTCCACTTGACAGACTGGTACCGCTGCGCCAACTTAGATGGCCGGGCCATGTTTTACGCATGCCATGCGAACGGCTGCTCCGACGCGCTCTCTTTGTTCGTACAGGACCACGCTGTCAGAAATCGCGCGGTGGTCAGCCTATCACGTGGTGACAAACGATTAAAGCGCTGACTTCCAGTTTAGCTCTCGTAGGTCCCGTGCGACTTCCGGGCTGGGGGAGAAAAGATGGAGAACATCGCTAGCAGGAAACTGTTTCGGAGATGGTGCAAAACCGAGCCCAACGGAAAATGTGTACAAACGTTCGTGTTGATTTAAATCGCAAACAGTAAACAGACAAAAAAGATAAAACGGCGTGTGAAAAAAACAAAGACAGAATTTAAAAGCAAATTTTTTTCGTAACTTTCATTCATTTCTTTGTGATCTCTGTATTTATTACTTCCGATTCATGGTTTTCGATAGCTCTAGATATATCTTATAGACTAAGTCATGGAAACAGTGTTCGTTTGACACAACTTACAAGGTGTTGAGCTGCTTTCTGGTGAGCGACTTTTTGACTTGGTGTATCCTGACGACATTGCTTTTATATGTGACAGAGCCCAAGCGTGCCCGGCAGCAGTGGACCGATTAACACTGTTTATCAGTTGCTTTTGGCTGTGCTTTGCCCCAACAAAATGCAAGGTTGGCAGTGACCCACCCTTTCTCTGAACACTTGTAGTGAACAAGCAGATGTCCTTCAGGAATTCAAGTACCTGGGCAGACATTGGAGCGCATGGGATTGAACATGAGATTGCGAACGGTATTACAAAAGCTCGAGGTGGTTTTGCCAATCTCCGCCGCCTGTGGCGCCGATGCGACGTCACTCTCTCCCTGAAGAGTAGAGCGAATAATGCAGCCGTCCGTACAATCTTTTTATACGGTTGTTAAACCTGACCATCATGTCGACAGACATAAAGAGGCTAGTACTACTTGGCCATCGCTGCCCTCGCAGCTTAGCTCATATATATATATATATATATATATATATATATATATATATATATATATATATATATATATATATATATATATATATATATATATATATATACAGCGCTCTGATAATGTATATATCTTTTTCGGACTTACCCCTGCAGAGCAGACAGTCGAGAAAGGCACATCGATCCACCGAATCGAAGACCCCCTTGATGTCTAAGAACACGACTACGGTGGGTCGCGAATAAAAATGGCGATGCTCCAACTATGGACGTAATGTAAAGAAGTGCTCAATGTAGCCTCGATTTCGACGCAATCCGGCTTGCTCCCCGCGAACATGGCTATCACGAGTGCCAGTCAGTTTATGGAGAACGACAGACGCAAGCAATTTAGAGGCAATGGAGACCAGAGTGATTCTGCTAAGACTGCCGCATTCCGAACAAGTGCTTACTTGAAAATTGAGACTATGACGGAGCGGCTCCAGTATGTCGGGATAGTTTCCTGCTCCAAAAGTTCCATTTGCAACTCGTGTAAATCATCCACAAGAGCAGGTCCCCCGAATTTGTAGAGATCTGGGGGAATTCTATCTGCACCAGCGGCCTTATGCAATTTCAACAGTCTGATCTCACGTTCGACTTCTGCGCGTGAGGGCGGATCTAAGGAGACGGCCCATGGAGAAAGGCACTCAATGTCCGAAAGAGAAAGCGATAACACAAGTTGGTTAAATTGCCTTGCAGTGTTCGGTCCAACGCTCTAAGCGTTTCGACAGACTGTGGATCGGCTGTCCACTCTCGTTGCGTATGGTCTCGCTAACACCAGGTCTCCGGATGTCAATTTCCCCGATCAGACGGAATAACTTGCGATGATTACCAACGGCAGCGGTTGTTTCCATTTCCGATGCATGAAGAGGCCACCATGGTTCGCGGTCTCTCATCAGTGTAGTATGCAGTTTTGTCCAGAGATTGTTCCGAGTCTCGTTGAGTTCGCTTACAGCCGGAATACGTCGGCGAGCATCAATAAATTCCAGAGACTGTGTAGAGACCCATTTTTCAATTTGGCAATTTGATTTGCCACATGAAGACATGCTTGCTGATAGTAACGTTTAGCGAATATGTATCCAGTGATCTTCGACGGTGTTCAGTGGGCGCTTATTCAGCCCGGATGTCAGCGCACCTTGATACGCATTCAGAACACCTGGCTTCGTCAGCTGGCTAGTGTCAAACCGTTCACCTCGATGTTGCGGACAATCACCGAAACGAACCCGGAGGTCGGCGCAAACAAGTGTGTAGTCAGAGTCCAGGCTCGTGCTCCGAATCGAGTGACAGTTTTGGAAACAGCCTCTCCAGCGGTAACTGATCGCGATATGACCGATTTGCATCCATGGCTGGTGGGCGCCAAGTCACTCTTCGGCAGGTGCTGTGTCGAAAGTTTTTGCTCAAGAGAAAGAGAAGAGCATCTTCACACAGGTGCAGAATACGCTCGCAGTTATCATTACGGAAGCCTGCACCATGTTGGCCATCCAGATGAAACTCATCAGAGGAACACTTTCCGACTTGGGCGTTCAGATCACCAGCAAGCACCATAGTATCCGTACTTTTTCTGTAACGAAGGAGACCCTTAAGTTGGTGACAGAATTCATCTTTCGCCGAATCAGTGCTACAGTTTGTGGCGGCGTATGCCGCAATGCCAAACAAGCACCGTTTGTCCCCGCACAACTTCGAAGCCTGGAACGAGCCAGCCAATCTAACGGCGCACATCCGGCTGTTGACGGGAATCCAATCGATCAGGGCACTTCAGCCAGTGGACTTAAAACAATGCCCATACCGGCTTGGTCGGCATTCGAAGCTACGTCATCTCCAGACAGGCGCCATGATAATGTGCCACCAGTGTCGCATGTGGGGGATCACAGGGTAAGCGCGGACCTCGGATCTCGCACGCGGGTTTCCGATAAGCAGCAGACATCGATCGATAAGGTTTCTAATGCTCGGGTAAGTGCTGCCTGCTAACCAATCTGCGACGAAGTGTGTACGTTGAGGCATGCCAGGCTTAACGGGGATCGAGGACTGTAAAGTAAAACGGATGAACTGACGTCCGCTTGATTGAACGATAACCTGTCCACCGGATGGGAGCGCGCCTTGTGATTGCGTGTGGCCTGAAACTAGAAGACAAGCGACTACTGAAGCAAATCAGGAGAGGGACGAGAATTGAGGGATGGAGAACGGGGGGGGGGGTAGAAGTGAATTCGGAGCGAGACGATAAGGATGAAAAGACGTAAGGGGGGAATAAGAAGGGAAGACTTAAGCAGTGGCATTCAAGCCCCTATCCACCATGCTCGATGCGATAGAGAGAGCGCAGTATATTATCCTCTGGGACGAGCAGAGTATCAAAAGATCGTATAAAGGGATAGTCATTGTGTTGTGTTGCGTGGGCAAAGGCCTAGACATGAAATCGATTAGGGTTCTCAATCAAAGCCTTTGGCCCAAAACCCTTACCGCAAAGCAGTGGGGTTTTGGCACTGGGCCACACAGAGTACGCTTTCTGGAGGGCCGGAGACTGAGTGTCTAGCCTCTAACGATCTTATCCTGCATAGCTCAATGGATCATTGAGGCATACAAACCAACGCACCAGGTTAAGGTCCAGTCTCGTCGCTATGCATGTTTCCGTCGTGTTGTTAGGCTTTAGCATTACAGTGGAAAGTGTACGGGATATCATTAAATCCCTTGCGGAGTGAAAAGAGAACTGTATTATTCAAGGTCGAATTAGGGAATAGATGGAACTAGCTTGAGGTATGTGAAAGCATTGACTATGATTGAGATGAGTAATATTTCAAAGTGTGGTGAGGGACACCAGTTTTATCATAAAAGTACCTAAAGTTAAATCGCAGGAACGACAGAAAAAGGTTTTCCCTAAAATGGATATATGTCAAATCCATTCCGCAAACGTGCAGTTCGCGACATGAAACAAAAGTTGAATGAATGACATTCAAGCGTTTAGTGGGACAATGCCTGCTCCTGTGGTATTTTCGCCTAATTCGAATACGCAAGTGAGACCGGGTCATCGACACGAAAGAAAACCACAGGGAGAATCGTGCGTTGCGCGTGATACAGCTAAACCAACACAAATAAGCGGTCGGTGCCTGTTGAATGCGACCGGGGATACAATTACTCCGCGTGAGGATTCTGACACTAAGGACGGAGGCGTAAAATGAAAGATGGGCAACTGAATGGAGGTATAACTTTGGTAGACTCTGGTTAAAAGCAAACAAACAGAGAAAGCTTGACACCGGGGTAATGAAACTGTTGAGAAAGGAAGCAGACTGCTAGCACTTAATGGGATAGAGTTTCGAGGGCACAAATGCGCTACAGATCGCACGGACTGAGAGTGGGATGAATCAGATGATCACAATACGCTGAGATATAAAAAAAGTACATTGTGAGCACTCACAACGGACAGTAGCCAATTCACGCTCCAAACTCGCGGCGAACGCTGAAATAAAGAAGGCAACATGTCTTAAGCTACGCGGCAATGAAAACAATCGCACTGCTGTTTGTCACATTTATCAATTAAGCAATGTGAGTACAAATTCATTCCAAGTGGCAAGCAGTAGGGAAGAGGTTAGTTAGCAGAAGGGAATACAGATGGACGGTAGCAACCGATTTCATTGTGGAATAAACCGTGGGAAAAATGGGCTAGTGCTCGATGTGTGATTGTCAAACAGCGGGACATCTCGGGCTGAAAGGACATGCAGATCGCATGACGATACAGTGCAAATAAGCCCAAGTGCACACCCACATAAAGTAAAAAGAGGATTCGTTACCGTCGAAAGGGTGCTCGAGCAGCGAGTTTCTGCTCTATTACTCCATGACAAGCCTCGTACTCGCTCTTTTCTGCATTTGCCTACGTCACTGTTCACACATATCCGGAAGACGCCAAATACACCGTTAATAATCCGTATTCCTTCGAATCTACCCCCGATGCCAATCTCGCCGATGTCCAAACAGTACGACAAGCGGACTTCCTTCCATCCAGATTTAGACTAAGGCTCGCAGCCATCGATATTCGAACCGTCGTGTAGATCGGAGAACAGGATGGCCCAGCGAGCACCACAGACTACCTCACAACTGATGATCTTTGCCTTTCTGAGACACCATTACAGGACCCTTCCATCGTATATAATGGGATCCTTGGCGTGTTCCAACTAGTAAAATATCCCGGGAGTAAACTACAGCAAAAATGTAAGGGAACAAGCTCGTTTTCAGTGGTTTCTCATCAGGCTAATACACCACAAATGAATGACATAAATGGGAGGCTGGCTAGCCGAACAACCTCCTCGTGGTGGCAGCTGGGTGGTTCGGGTTTACCCTGTTCCAGCAAATAGTTCGGCGGCAGTGTTCCAGGATGTGGTGGGTTTTCGCCTAGCAAGCGTTCTCCCTATGAAAAGCCACAAATGACCGAGTAATAACACTGTGACGTGGCGGTTGTGACTCGCCACCAACTAAAGTCACCTGTTGCTTATCCGGACAACTGCTTCAAGTCCACAGATAATAAGCATCCATTTAGCACTGGCGACACGTTCAAACACATTCAAGCAAAAAGGCAGGAAACATTTACCAATCCCATAAACACAGCTAAACATGCCTACATGCATACTTACATATATTCATATGTAAACATATGCGACAATCCCGTTGTTCCGTTGTACATTAACTGATCACATTTTGTACTCTTAACATGATCATGCCTGTGCAGGAGTGCCTCGCTTAGTCGAGAATACACATCTTATTTATTTATAAATACCAGGTAGGGGTAGAGGTTCAAAACCGAGATGGTCTGAATGACCACGCTAGGTGATTGACCACAAGGCGAGCATGTGTGTGTGTAGCGTTGTCTACAATGTGTCAGTGTTACGGAGGACCAGGGTTGAGTTAGTGCCTGGACAACTTTTTTGTGCGCACATAGGTCAGGGTCATGAAGCCTGATAGCGATTGCCTCGGCAGCTGCCAGTAGATGACATCTAACCGCTCTTGTGTGGTTTCTGGGTACGCGGTAGATGGGATGGAACGCCTCATGCGCTCTGACCTGGTGGTTCGAATCGACTAAGTGTGCAGACACTGCGCTTGCGACGGATTTGGTCTCGCCGCTATACATCCAAGCTGGAAAGTGGTCCCTGGCTTTCTCGGACAGTCTCCTGGTAGTTCTTCTGATATATTTTGATCGACACGAGCAAGAGAAAAAGTACACACGGAAAGAAGTACTCGGCCTTAGAATTCTGTCCTTAAATTGTTGATTCAGCGTCGGCACTGAGTTGAAGCTTAGCCGTAGGCTTCTTGCATTGTACGTTTGAGCAATGGCGTCAGGAAGCCTTCTAGACGTCGACTCAGCTATCCCGTCCCCCTTGAACGGTCACGATAAGTAGACCGATTTCTTTCCTGCTGAAACCACTGCTTTTGCTTCTCGTAGCTCCATGTTTCTCCGAACGAAGCTCTCCGCATAGTCATTGCCATCGAATAGGCTTCGTACAAAGTTTAGCTCGTCCGGTAGCATGCCCTCGCTACAATCCTCCTTGCTCGCTAAGTTGGGCACCGAACAAGTTTTCGTTTCTGGCTAAGTGGAACGGAACTGGCCAAATCAGGATATTGCCCGTTCCGCGTTGTTTTGCTAAGGACACTCCGCTGGATAGACCCGTCAGATCTACGGCTAATCTGAACGTCTAAGTACGACATTGAGTTGTTCCACTCAGATTCAATGGTAAATTTTATGTTTGCGTGGACTGAGTTTAATTGCCTCACTAGTTCTTCCGTGCAAAGATGACTATTTGAGATGGAGAATATATCGTCCACGTACCGTCCGTAATTGACTAGTTTGTTGATAACTCCCTTCAGATAGTTGTTCTCTAACTTACTCATAAATACGTCTGCTAACACCGGTCTTAACGGAGATCCCATTGCGGCTACGTCTATCGGTCTGTAGGTCTTCCCGTTGAACAGGAATTGTGTGTTCTTGGTAAACATCAGTAGCAACTGTATGAATCACTCATTGGAGAGACCGACATGCACATGCTGCAGTCGAACAGCATCGCATAGGTAGTCTGTCGTCTCCTCCAGCGGAATTCGGTGAAGAGTGACACTACATCTAGAGAAAACACTTCCTTTCTGGTTAACTGCATATGGCTTATAGTGTCTACTAAGCTGAATGTATCTCTGGAGCTTTGTTTGGATAAGACTTTTCTGACCAGTTCTAGAAGCGAAGTGAGACATTTCGCAGTGAAATGATATGGAGAATCACACATGCCTAATATTGGCCTCATTGGAAGTCCTTCTTTATGCACTTGCAGTAAGCCGTAAAGACGTGGAATCACTGTCCCTGAGGGACGCGTGTATTCGAACACCACTGAGTCAATCGCATTCTCTTGCTTTAGGCAGTGTAGTAGCCTAGTGACTGTCTTTTTTATCGACGCCGTCTTGTCTTTCTCCATCATGCGGAATTTTGAATGATCACTGAGGATGGGAAGTTCTACAGACAGAAGGACAGAGTCGCAATGGGCTTTCCGTTAGGACTGTTGTCAGAAGACGCATTTATGAATAAGTTAGAGAACAACTATCTGAACGGAGTTATCAACAAAGTAGTCTACTACTGAGAGTACGTGGGCATTCGTTGGAACAAACCTTCAATTGAACAGGTCGTTGTTGGAGCTCATATTCATCTTGTAGATGCACTAGACATGGGTTTCCTGTAGCACTGTGTACTTATTCTCGTACACGACCAATTCGCGGTTGGAGGATGATAGGACGAGGCATAGTAATGCCGTTGGTGGCGAATTAGGTGAATGATTCCAAAGGAATCTGGAAGTATTTAGGCTGCATTTTGATGCAAGGGTTGCAGCCTCAACAAGAACAACCAATTCGCTTCTTATTACCACTCAGTTAGATGTCATCACGCTCGCATTATAGTGAAATCTCCTTACGCCAGATTGACAGCATGACAAATCACGTATTATGTCTCCGATTGGCTGATCAACCTCGACACGATAACGAAACCGCTGGTGAACCAGTACTATCGATCGCTTCAGTTGGTAGTTTACCCGTTCGTTCGCACTCGTAGCTGAGTAAAGCTCTCGTGTGCACTGGACCACCTTAGTCCGCTGCGTATCACGCGATGCAGTTGGGGTGGGAGCTGTGGACATTCTTAGTAGTATCACGGTATAATAAAACAGGGCGGTGTTCCGCTATCCGCTTTGACAGACGTCTGGTCATGTGTCCGAGGTATCTCGCACCACAGGTGCGTGAACCGGTATAGGACATATGATTCGGACGGGGGCGGAAGTATGTCTTTTAGGCGGTTGGTGATGAGCGGGACGGTTTTGGCGTGAATGCGCACTCTGGCGGCCGGGTAAGTTTGGTTGAGCGCGGAAGTCGATTTCCTACTTAAGAGCTCAAACTGTATGCCCCTTTTGAAAAGCACTGAAAGGAAAACGTCTTTTCTTCTCACGGGCATTTTACGCTCAGACTCAGCTCGGAGTTGGGAATGCTTTTTGATGACAGCAGTTGGATACGTGTTGCTTTCCAATGTCTTGCGTATGAAATTCTTTCCTGCTTCTAGTGTCTCTGAACTGTTAATCCTTGTAGCCCGATAGTACAGGCAACGCTTGTACTTTAACGATACGAAACGGTGAAAATACGTATACTGATCTACCCAGGTCGTCCTGAGGAAAATTTTTTTTCAAGCGATCCATCCTCTTGTCGTCGCAGCAAAACATCCGAAAAAGGCAGCTTATTGTCCTCCTCAATTGCAGAAGTTAACATCAACGACGGGTGGGTATTGGTAAATCAATTCAACAGGGGGAAATGATCAGTATGATATTCACAAACAATGAATGTATATCATCCACGTAGCACCGCGTGAGGAACGAGCGTGTTCGACGCCTTGTTTACGGCACAGGAAAAGGAAATGAATCGTTCAGCACCGTTAGTTCACGCACCAGGCTCTAATGGCTCGGCCACGTGTTACGCATGCCAGCCCACCGACTCCCGCGACGTGCGTTGTTTGTGCGCCGAGGGTGTGGATGAAAGAAGAGGAGGGGTGACCAAGCGATGACTTGATCGAGAGGAATGAAGGCCCTCACTTCTGAGCTGGCCTCGGTTGGAGCTTCACGGCTCCCTAGTTGGAGTCCGAAAGACGATGAACACGTTTGGCTGGATACACTTGTTGATATGGCAAGGAGCCGACCTCAGTGGCGTTCCCGCTGTGAGTTTCTTTGTCCCACCCTATCCCTCTTAGCCTCCCCCTCCAACCACGATCTCATTAGTTAGCCTTATATAATTCTGCATAGTAATTTTTTTCTTTGATGTACAGTAGCCGGCTGGTAGCTTACCGGAACGATGCCCATCCGTTACCGGTAGCTCAGCCGGTTTGCAACAGTTGCTTTTTTCCCTCCTTTTTTCTGTGTATTGCGGCACAGTAGCTGAGGTGTTCCCCACCTCCAGCTAACGTGTATGATGATGATGATGATCCACGTAGCAGTTGTGATAGTCAAGGGATGCGATTAGGTGTCTGATAGGTCCGCGTTCAACCTTTGCGAAAAAAATGTCTGCAAGCCGCGGTCCTATGCACGATCCCATCGCAACTCCGTCTATTTGTCTACAGTATTTTCCATCAAATAGGAACTGTCTGTTGGAGGTGCAACGTAGAATCAGCTGTGTCACATTAGGAACCGGGATAGGAAGAATGCTGTTACTTTCTGTTAGGTGCTCATAGATGAGATTGACCGTTTCTAACAATGGGACGTTCGTAAAGATTCTACATCAAAGGAGAACATCAATTTTTCTTACGTTTATTTTCTACCTGTTGAACGAATGCAAATGTGTCACTCAGTGTGGTGGGACAATTCTTTACGTAATGGTTCGAGTAGTTAAACAAGTCACTTGGCGACCGAGTGAGTAGCAGACCCAGACATATAAATCCCTGGTCATATTGGAGTGTTAGGTATGTGGACCTTTGGCACACCGCAGAGGCGAAGTGGATGCCAGCCACAAAGTGTTAATCGCTCAAGTAAAAAGCTAACGATGTAGTTATGGCGATTTAGTTCTTTCAACGAGTTGGTTATTTTGATATCGTCTTGTGCTGTGTTGTCCTTTTGTACTGAATCAAGCACGGATTTGTTGGAATCCTGTGAGATCGCGTGCACCTCGGACATGTTATCACACCTGTCCATGATTACCCAACCTGATCTCATATCTGGCTCGCTGAGTAAGACCTGTGTTGCATGTCAATTCTTGAATCGTTACTCGGCGTGCATTGGTGATTAATTATGAGGACTGTGCCCTGCTGCCACAATATTTCTGTGAAAGATGCACCAAAGTGGTTACGAAAGAGTCACTACCATTAGAGTAGATAACACGAACCATCAGTGCCAAGTATTAATAATCAATTTATTCACACCATTTCCTGTGTGACAAGCGAGTTCCACGAGTGCCGGACCCGACTAGGTGCGAGAGCGGTAGGTAACATGTAGCATTCGGCACGCCTGAGAAATAACTTCCTGTTCCAGTGTGAGAACATGTTTCTAGTGAATCGTGATACAATTCATTGAAAGAAAATAGCGAATCAGCGACATTATGAATGTGTCATTACTACTAAGTCCAAAAATTCTGGGCGAATTTGCGAAAGTTTAACTTCGACTTAGTCTTCAGTTTCCTCATACTAAATACACCAATACATTTAAAAGAAGGAAGATATCACGGCGGAAAACGCAGAGGGCTAATAGAGTCACACTGACGCTCCGTCTGGTTACTGAGAACTTAGGGCAGTAGGTAAACTAAGTATGGTTCAGAGACAATATTTGTAAAAAGTTAAGTACAATAGACAGGTGATCCGACTCTCGAATTCGGGTGGTATTCATTCCACAAGCACGGTAAAGCCGATACGTAACGTTTGGGTTTGGTAAATGGTAAGAATAGTACTGTCTTTGCTGCCTATTAATATTTTGATAACAAATTTTATAAAGCAGAAGACAGGTGTGTAAAAGCTGAATACCCACCACCCGGACGCAAAATGCTCCTTCTTGAAGTGAAAAATTGAATTGAATTGAGCAGTATAAGGAGTCAACCGCTTCACCCTTTATTTTCCCCATGTGTACAGCTATAACAAAGGAAGCGGCACTCCGTTTGAAATAAGTGGTTCTGCTCAATGCAATGAGCTCACATGCCTAACTTTTCCAATAATTTGTCTGGGTATGTACTGCATCAGCGCCATAGCCCTACGCCCGGTTCTCATAACCGCCATCGCAGAGCTCTGTGCACTGCGTCCGCTCTCCGTGTGATAGCCAATCCCACATCGTCTGCTTCATCTGGTTGCCGCCCATGTGAGCCGAACTAATGATATCCACGTTCCTCTATCCCCACATCCAACCACATTTAGTATACTGCAAATCCGCAACAACAAGTTTCGCCGATAACTGCCCCACCTCCGGTAGTTTGAGTTCCGCAACGCCTGGAATACGGTGGACGTTGGGGCAATTCACAAATTAGATTACATTGAGCAACAACAACAACAATGTCATCAGACACAGATGGTGATCTGGATAGATGGTAAGACATCGACCATGCCAAAATAAGCGCCAACATTGTGTATGATTTTCAGTTTCAATGAAGTACCTAACTACTCGTTAGTTAAACTCACAATCCTCAAATCGGCAAAACTGAGATGCATACACGGTGCTAAGGATTTGCCATACAAAGTTCAAGCTTCATCAATCGCCCGACACCTGCTGACAGACAGATACAACGTGGACCCTGCGCGTACATTCCGGGTGATTTTCGCGTCAGATAACACCCACGTTTTACGATATGGCGAAACGGTGGCCATCAAACAACTGGGCCCTACCCAATATGTATAAAAGGATGCGTTCCTCACATTGGCTCTGCCGTGATAGTAGGCCAGCTGATAAAGGAACAATGTGTGAGTGATTGACTGCGTGTGTGTGTATGTGCGTCCTTAGGTGAATTTGATATCCCAACTATACCAGATGTTCATGATGCTTTGTGCATAAGTTTGCATGCAATCTGAGGCACGCACCCAGATAATATACGGAGAAATGTCTCCGGATATAAATCGTGCGGTGCTATCATGCTAACGTCCTTGCTGAAAAACTCATCGGGTAATAAATGCTTCACATACACACGAGTAATGCTGAAACGTTTGTAACCAAAAGAGCAACATACCATTGGATGAATCCAAATCGTGTTCGACTTGTTGTTTCGAAGCTGAAAGAAAGGAGGATGTGATAGTTGACTAAGTTGATTGAGGGCACGAATCACATCAAGTTAGGAGAGAGCTTCGCTGAGTAGAAGAAAGAACTGGTCGAACAGGAAGAAAATGAAATACATCTGTGGTTATCTCTAAGATGGGAAACGCATGGCAGACTGATGTGAGAAATACGTCCAAAGATATCATAGGGAAATAAGAAGAAACACGTGAATCGCTGATCATGTTGATGTGACAACAAACTAATCACTGGGGTGTGACGACTCCTTGGGACGCGTTTACATCTAATCGACGCCCCATCTAGGAAGCGGTGCGGAAGGTGGATCGAAGAATGGAAAGACTACTGTGGAAGTTCAATTGGACGGTGTACAAAGGAGTGTGAAACGAGAGAAGTTAAATAGGAAGACGTTGGAAAGCGCAAGGACTACAGATGGTCTCAGAAGTAGACATAACAAGCGGGATTATGCTCCATCAGCAGACTACAATGGAAAATCTCCGACAATGTTCGAGATCCAGAAATGTTCAGCCATCAGAGTGTGTAAAGTAGCTTAAACAGAAGTAACCAGGCAGCTGTATCAATTCGGAAAACAAGTGACGACCGCCTCGCTCATAGATACTGTAGGTGCGAATCATTTGCACGAAGGGAGATTACTGTGCTGTCTGTAGGTAGTAACAGCCTACACATGTATGGAGGCCATGTTTCAGTCAAGTAAGCTACCGACATCTGTTGCAGCACAGAGACTGAAGCCTATGTCAGCAAACACATATAAGTCACCATTGCGAAACTCTCAGTGGGACGGGAACCGAAAAAGCGAAATGACCATTCAATGCTATCCCGGATGTGTGATGGTTAGGAAACTGGATCTAGTTGTGAGAGATTCTGTTCAATCCGGACTGTTATCAGCGTTACTACTGTTCTTACCATAATTTGAGGAAAATTATGATAACCAACGAACCCAAATGGTCTGACCTGCACAATACTAAATTGGCCTCCAACCACCAAAGCGTCAGCTAACTTGACCCATTCCTTTGGCGTCTAGCCATGGTACGCTGACATGCAACTCCTAATGTGCTTCTACTGTGGATTTATTCCGGAAAAGTCAAACGCAAGACGCAATGATGCGGGGAAGCATATACCAGTGACCGAGCTTCCCGAATAACAAGAAGCGAACGACAGTGGGTAATCACTTAAGAGTTGACAATTTCGGTCATGAAAGCGTGAAGTCGTCTCTGTCCAAATTATCCGAGGAAACGGAGAAGAAGATACATGAGAAGTTAAATGATGAACTTAAAGGCTCAGCGACAAACTTTCAGGAAGCTAAAAGGCACACACTGCGTGCCATTGGCTCAAAAAGTCAATACAGTTCAGCTGAACAAGTATAATCCGCGCACCAAAATGCGACGGATCCAGTTACCATGATTTATTTCGCGAGAATAACAAAAAGTAAAAGCATAAGGGAAAACGAAATTGAACGGAAATAGGATATGAAGAAAATGGAAGCAGAAAATAAGTTCATTGAACTATTCGGGATGGAAAAGTAACGGATTGGTGCACAAAACTGAATGCAAGAACGCCACTGACAGCGCAACTGCTGCAAGTCCCATGGGGTCTCTAACGAGCACGCGAAGGACATGACGTACCCAATGTAAGCAAGTAAGCTTCAGCAAACACTTAAGTGAGACACCAGAATCTTTTTTGTCAAATACCAACTGGTGGACCTCAGCATGGTCGCTGTGTGTTCCCACCAAATGTGGGCAATACTCCGCAAGCACGGCCAAGCCTTTAATGTCTTCGCTGTGAACTGGCCAGATCTCTGATCCATACAAGAACACCAGCCTTATCGCAGCGTTACACACCCAATCTTTCACTGACAGGCTGATAGCCCACCGGATATATAGATGGTTGTGGCTGTGAAAGGCCACATTCGGTTTTCTGATAAGCGAAGTAACTTCCTCAGTGACGTGACCACCGGGGGTGACACAGCTTCCAAGCTGAGTCAACCGATCCCCGACGTCCAGTGGCTGTTCGGTGATAGCCAAAACCGGTAGCATATCGGGCTGGTTCTTCAACAGTATTTAGCACTTTGAAGAGGCAAAGCACAAACCGAAGCGTGCAGTGTTTCGTGTCAGTCGAACCAATGGTGCTTGTATAGCCATTGTGTCAGACCCCAGAACAACCATGTAGTCTGCAGACAGAAGGTTCGCCAATCGGCGACCTAGTGGTAAATCCATACCGGAAGACCCTGAAAGAATGAAGCTATCGCGGGGATACTAGACCTTAACTCGGTTCGACGGTTTGCTTGCCTCAGCGATCAATTGGGATATGCTGTGTGGTGCTTTTGCACGTTCAGAGCAACATACAAGAATGGCATAAGGTTATAGGCCATACGAACTCAGTATCCAGGCCCTCCACGTCGGAGGTTATGGTGAGGGTGGGTTATTAATTAAGAAAACGGGCGCCCTGCAGTCCAGTGCCAAAAACCCGTCGCATTGCGGTGAGGTTATTGAAAAAAGCTTGTTTTGAGAACCCTATTCGTTCTCAATTCCAAGCCTGGAAAAAGTGACAGTATCGGGCCCACCCAATAAAACATGAATTCTCAAACAAATAATCTCTTGAAGCTTTGGCCGCCCTAGAGAATAATGAACGGAGACCTCTCTGCTGCATCGAGCAGGGTAGATAGGGGTTTGGATGCTACGACTAAGCCTTCATGTCTTCTTAGAACATCTCTTATGATCTTTCAACCATTTAGATCCGTCTCAACTTCACTTTTACCCCGTTTACAATTTTCCAATTCCGGTTCCTCTCACATCAGAGTTCAGGAATCACTCGTCTTCTAATATCGACTCACACGCAGTCGCATGGCGTCGCTCCGATTTAATCGTCAAGTTCATGTCCAACCAAAAGAACAACTTCAGTTCGTCTGCTCCGTCTCAGGGGACTTGCGGTCCTCCTAACGACAGGCATACGTCAAAGAACGCACCTTGTAGCAAACTGGACAACAAACAGCAGTTGCCGAATACTGGAGACCCTATCAATCGATGACTGTTGCTGGTCTGAAACTCATATGCAAGATTGGGCCTGAGATCACCCTCCGACCTAGCTTGGAAGTAAAACCTGGGAAGCCGGAGTGAAAATGCAGCGTTACATGCGCTCATTAAAGAGGCGCGACAAGAAAAACAGAACGATCTAGAATTCCAAATACTCAGTGGCAATGGGCTTTTCAGTTTCAAAATGGAACGGTTAATAAAATAAACAGTCGGTTGATAGCTTGGCGCTCTGATTCGCAGCTTGAGAACAATTACGAGTCCACCTTAAATCGAGGTTGCATATTGGATGGTAAAGTGTAGTACGCACGAGGACAGTTGTCAACAGATGGAATGATGTAAAACTCAACTCTAGCGGTCTAGAAGCATTCCGAAGTGCACTGATGAAAAAAGCCCCTGAAATCTAGCACCAAAAGGCACTGGCTTCGCTGCATACGAATTGGTATCGGGGGTTTTCAAGTTGCGCTCATTGATAACGCAGGGCAACAAACTTTTGGCAACTTTCTGCTGCAAGAGACTTTTAAACTGATGCTACCTGAACTTTTAATGCTGATTTCAAAACTGAAACCCGCCTTGTTTTCCGCACGCTCCAGTTTTCATGCATTTTGATATTTTACATAAATAGAAAATTATTCGCCAATCTTCTTTCGTTTCGGATATGACCATGGCTCACTCAGGGCAACATAAATGTGCAAATGAACCTGATGCATTTTGCTATATACGCGACTGTTGTACACTAGTTCGCCAAAGGAAAAATATCACTTCGTTTGTGTAATGTGTCTATAAATCATACTTCGAAGCACACCTTGGCGACCAAGACTTAAAATAGGCACCCCACATTGTGTGTCATTATTATGAGGAAATGCTTCCTGACTGGACAAAAAGCAAACACAAAGACCTAACATTTGGAGTTCCCATGGTTTGACGAGAACCTACGAGCCACATAACAGACCGCTATTTTTGCATGGTTGATACAAAAGGCATTGGAAAATATATCGGCATAAGATCTCTTATCCCAGTATTTCCTCTGAAATTCGACCCAAACCGCACTCTGAAGAGCATCCCATTCCAAAATGTAAAAGTTTCACTGCATCAGATGAGGAAGTCAGTGGGCATGAAGACAGGGCCCAGGTACGTGAATCAGCTGCAACATATGATGACTCTGTAACTGATGCTGAACTGTAATCAGCCAATCAGCAACTCACTCAATAAGAAATGAATGACTTAGTGCGTCATTTAAGGCTCTCCAAGAGAGACGCTGAGTTATTAGCCACCAGGCTACGTGAAGAACATCTACCTAAGTTGTAAGTAGTAGGGGGATTTATTAGGTTTTTTGTAGGTTCGTCGCAGTTAGACATAGGCAGACAGCCACCACACATCCAGGAAAGCGCTAGACGGCCGTTTCGTCCTATTGGGACTCGTCAGTAGCGCGCACCCGTCGAATTCTGCCGGATTCGAACCCCAAACTTTACTCTTGTAAGTCAGTGACTTATGTCACTGAGCCATGACTGATATCTAACTGCCGCGCTATATTGCAGTTAGATATCAGTCATGGCGGTCCGCTGCCGTCGCCCATGGCTCAGTTACATAAGTCACTGACTCGCAAGAGTAAGGTTTGGGGTTACATAAGTCGCTCACTCGCAAGAGTAAGGTCGGGGTTTGAATCCGGCAGGATTTGGCGGGTGCGCGCTACTGACGAATCCCAATAGCACGAAACGGTTGCTAGCGCTTTCCTGGATTTGTGGTGGCTATCTATATACGTCTAACTGGGACGTATCTATACAAAAATCTAACAAAACCCCCTACTACTTACAAATAATCAGTAGCCGCCTTAGCAGCTTACATGCCACCTCGATTGGTGGCGGCTTGCAAAGGAAGTTGGTGTTCCGTGGGCCAGCGCTGTCCTCTGCACATTCATTCATGCAAGACAGTGGAGGATGAGCCGCGCTATATC